AGGATTTAGGGTTTAGGGTTGACATTGCCTTGTTCAAGTTGCACAATACATCCTAGCCTGCAGCCCCTACACCTCCTAAACCCTAAAGCTGAAACCTTACCTCCTTAACGCACGCTAGCCGTTAAATCCAACCCCTTAGCCCTGAAACCTGAGCCGAAGCCCCCTAAGCCTAAGCCCTAAATACTAAGCCCTAAGCCCTAAATCCCAGACCTTAAACCCTAAACCCTAAACTCTAAGTAACCCTATCAGAGCCTATATGACCCTATACAATGCTATACAAACTTATACAAACCCCAATAAGTGGACAGCAAAGGATGGTGCCGGGCAGAGAGAACGGCAGCTGCCCTCTCCGCAAAGCAGAAGCCGCTGCTGGTGGTCCCTCACTGAAGATGGATTTAGGGATTGAGGGGTTTAGGGTCTAGGGTTGAGGGTTTAGGGGTTAAGGAATGTCATGGGTTTAGGGGCTCAGTGTTTAGGGGTCGTAGGGTTTATAGGATTTGTAGGGTTAAGGGTTTTAGAGGCTTTTCAAGGGTGTTTAGGGAATGAGGGTTGAGGGTTTGCAGGGGCCTAGAGATTTGCAAGGCTTACGCAGCGTTTTGGGTTTGTAAGGTTCCGGGTTTGGGGTTTGCAGGGTTTCGTGGGTTTAGGGCTTCTCGCGTTTTATAGGATCTAGGAGATATGACCCGAAAGTCCAGGCTTTAGCGTTTAATCGAATAAAGGCTGAGCACTTAGGGGATAACAGGTGTAGGGATTAGGGATTAAGAGGTATGGGGTTATAGGGAGCATAGGGGTTACATCGGGTCTGAAGATGGATGGGAGGGTTTCGAGGCTCAGGCAGTTTGTACGGTTTAGCCTTTTGGGCATGGAGCTTAGGCTTCTGGACTTCGTGTTGCGGTTCAAGGTTTAGGCTTCCTTGCTACCTTCTTTGTGTCCGAATCCCGGGGATGTTCCGCTGCTTATCCCAGAGCTACGCCCATAGACGCTAAATCCTAAAACCCCTAATCCTATACCCTAAAGCCTATACCCTAAAACTCTAAGCCCTAAACCCTAAACCCTCTTGCGGCTTCCATGTCAGCGGGCAGGGGTGCGCCCTAAGCAGCTGTAGGTCGATCCACAGGCTTGAAGAATCAATTTCAAGAATGGCAATAACCCAGACCCCTGATTCATAAACCCCTTCCCCTTAGTAGAGGTTATAATAAGGATCCGGATATCTAGGCCCTGAAAAGGAGGGGTTTCATTAGTACTTATATAAACCCTATAAAACCCTAGAAAACCTTACAAAACCCTAGAAGACACTTAAGAAGGAGTGGTTTTATTAAATATGGGTCTACAAGAACCGGTTTTCAAAGCTTCAAGCCCTCAAGCTCCTCAGGGTTCAGGGTTTGAGTGTTTAGGGTTTAGACTTTTAGGTTTAGAGTTTAAGGTTCAGAGTTTAGGTTTTGGAGTTTAAGGTTTAGAGTTTAGGTGTTAGAGTTTAAGGTTTAGAGTTTGGATTTAGAGTTCAGAGGGCTTAGGGTTTACAAAGTTTAGTCTAGGGACTTTAGGAGGGACCCCTAATAGGGACCCTTAATCCCATTACCATATACAACCCTTGTATAGTCATTATATAACCCCTAGATCCCTATGCTGTGTTATCCTGGAGATCTGCAGGCGATGCTTCTTGCAAACTAGCCACATACCCTGCCACACCCATCAACACGTAGAAGACCAATTCAATGCACACCTGGGCACAAGCACAGTGAGTGCTGTTGCACCGATTGTTCATGCATCACTGGTTGCCGTAGTCCCTATGTTTATCTATGCAACCCACAATGGCACAGTAGTCTCCCTTCTATTTTCCACTCCCGCATGCCCTACTAGCCACCAGTAAGGCGTTGTTGTACTGAGCCGCCGAATACAGCGACACGCGCCAGATGCTTCCACCATCTGCGTTCTTCAACGCGGTGGCAACTGGTACAGCATTGGTGTGGGCCGCGAAAGAGAACCTGCAGTCGGCCACACAAGGCTCACAATTCTGGAGATTCTGGAGAAGAATCCTAAACCCCCTAAACCCGAAAGGCTTTTGTCGACTCTAATCGACTATCATCTATATAATATACCATATCATACTATAATATACTGTAATATCCTACACTCTACTATAATATACTATAATATACTATACACTACTAGAATCTACTATGCTCTACTAGAGCTCCGCCAGGCAGCAAGGCAATGCTGAAGGACTGCAGGGCTGCAAACCTGGCGCAGGCTACCCATATCATTGAGGTCGTTCTCAAAAATTGGGGTCCCAAAAATTAGGGTTGAGTAGAGAATTTATAGGTTTATATTCGGTTATATAGGGTGTATATGAGGTCTTTATAAGGATATGTAGGGTGTATATAGGGGATACATAGGGTTCTATAGGTATTCCCAAAAATTGGGGTCCCAATCTGGTGAATGTTAGGGGCCGCAATAAAATTTACAACCAAATGGGGCCCATAATTTTCGGAACTAACCATTGTTCAAAAACAGCTGCGAACAGTCTCACGTCAACGGTTCGCAAAGCCAACGATTTTTGCCCAGGAGCGGATCACTACTCCACCAGACTAGCTGCCACTTCTCGTCTGCTTCTGCGCTCCTACCACAGCAAAACGCCACATTTGATCGTTGTTGGCACTAAACCCTAAACCCCAAACCAGCTTGTCACCCTAAACCAACAACTTCTGAGAATCAAATGCAAGGATGCAAGCCTAAAACCAACCTGTAAGTTTCAATAGACAAGGGGGCCAGCCATAGCCCGGCATATAGTATCATCCTTATCATATGTATCACGCCCGAAAAAGGACCCCTTATCCCTATAAGCTGTAATCCCACTTAGTTTCCATTTGATTGTCCGCTTTCTTTACCATTTGACTCTCCATTATTGGAGTTATATGTCCCTAAACCCTAAACCACCCTAAACCCTAAACCTGAAACCCAAAACCCTACACCAAAACCATCAACCCTAAACCCAAAACGCATTGATTGGGACACTGTCAGCTACAGTCTCAACTCCTAGCATCCCCCTTAATAACAACTATAGCAGTGCTCTCTATATAATCCCCTATATTACGCCCCTCTGAGGAGTGTAGAGGATGGCTCATAGTCTCAGCGCAAGGGAACCTCTCCTAAACCCTAAACACTGAAACCCTAAATTTTCCATTATCCCTATATAATTCCCTATATTTCCACCCTTTAAGGAGTTTAGAGCCTAAACCCTAAACCCTATAAAACCCCCTTTAAGCAGTCTATATGAGCCTCTATATAACCCCCTGGTCTGTCTCCTGAGTCCGGCATAGCTCGGGGCTCGCCAGGCTACCACCATCGCTGTGAGGCCAATGGCAACGACGCTCAAGACACCTAGTAAGGGCTTTAGGTGTAGGGTCTAGGTGTATATTTTAATACCGGTTTAGGTGTGGGGTTTAATACGGGTTTAGGTGTCGGTTTTAGGTTTAGGATTTGGGCTTATTAGGGTTTAAGGGGTAATGTATGCCGAATGTTGTTTCAAACAAGAGTTGTCAGTTGCCAATTCATGTTTCATTGTCCTGTCCATCTGATTCTCCATAATTGTAGAGGCTTATAGGAAGAATCACCAAGCAGTTCCCATGTCATTTTCCATTTGCTTGTCCATTGTTGATTCTCCCAGAGGGGCCTATCAAAATGATTACCAACGTCAATGGGGGTGTCCCAAAATTCTGGGTACCATTTTGGGGGTCCCAATAATAAGGATAATCTGGATAGTTGTATATCAGGGTCAATATTGGGGTCCCCTTATTTTGGAAAACTACTATATGCCTGAACTACAACAAGTATCTCACGAGCTTCCTGTATTCAGTACTTGAAGGGTGCCCGAAACTCTACTCCTGTTCACTTTGGAAACAAAACCCTTACGGTAGCTTACGTTTTCCGAGCTTTTGCTCGCGACATGACTTTGCTGTTGTTTCTGCTTACGCCGGCTTGCTGCAGCTGCTGCAACTGCAAGGAATGGTTGGCTTGGGACGTAAACAACAACACCAAAAAAAACAACAGCTTGCGAAGCTTACGGCAACAACGTTACATTACGAAACACAACAGCTTGCTTACGCCAAACCTTGTTTCTGAAAGCCCCTGTCTTTTCTAAATAAGGTGGTTGTTGATCTCCGCTCACTTGGCTGGGTAGCCTATGGGCCACGACTTGCCACCCACGGGTCCGTTGAAGTAGCTTTAGTTTTGTTATTTTTCGCACTAACAGTAACCACAAGGAACTATTGCCGTTTCACTTTTGCAAGTCACTCTGAGATCGTGATAGTGAGCTTCATGTGAATAGCACGGAGGCAAGATCCGGCCTATAACCACTATCGCTGCATGTATTCCTCATTGTTTGCAGCCTGCCCTTCCTTGTCATTCTGGGAGTTACTATGCATCCTTCCATGGTCAAGCTGACAAGCTTACATTGTGCACTCTTCTCGGTTCGAAGCTGCGAAGTTGTGTACAGCTCCCTGCAAACACCAATAAGGTTAGAAGTCTAGGGACCCTTGAGGGTACATAATGGGTATGTGGCAGATATGTAAGGATCACAGAGTTAAGGGCTCATACTAGGGGCCCATGGCTTTAACCTTAGAAAGCCAATGCAATAGGAAAATCCGAGTGCAACTGCGCGGCAAACGTATCGAAGCGCAGACAGTCGCCTTAGGAATGAGCATCTGAGGGTTTTAGGCACAAGGAGTAGCCTGGCCGCTGCCGCGCTTAGTGCCAGTTTCATCAAGTCTTCATTATTTACGGGGTTGTTGTGAATGAACTTAAGACAAGTTACTATAGTCAGGAGAGCCTATTACTTAATACTACATACCATTGTTATGGTAACTTGATTGAAGTTTCTTAACAGCAACCCAGCTTGATTTGCTGCCAAGTAGCCGGGGAAGAGACAGCGGCCAAACAACTGCAATGGCGATGGAGACCTGCTGCTTGCTCTGTGGCCAGTGTGGCCAGATAAGAAATCAATCCGCTCAAGGCAATTGGAGCAATTTGAGGGTTTCCCAAAATTCGGGCTACTATTTTGGGGGTCCTTAACTTCTGCGGTCACAATAACAAGGACTATAATATTTTGGGGGTCTTGATTGTGGCCCTCCTATATGGAAACTACCATTTACATCTCCACATGTAACAGGAACTTCCATTTACAAAGGGGGCGAGCCTATCCATCAAGGATAATAACCTTTAATTCTATCAAATACAATACCCCAAAAGGAGGATGTCATCTTATTCTATATTGGGTACCCTAGTACCCCCAATAAAATACTACTCAAGTTCCGGTCGAGGGGCAATCAGCGTCTCACGAGAGACATTCAGGTTGAGGATAGGCGACCTCCAACTGCCAGCGAGTACTTCTAAACAGCTGCGGGCCGGACTAGCTTAAAAATGAGTTTCTTGCGCAGGCCACACAACAAGGGCCCACCGCTGCTGCCACAATCCAGACTTGAGCAGAGGAGTAGACTTGAATCTGAGGCTGTCACCTTACAATTCCAAGGAAAAAATCGCCGATGAACATCAAGTAGCACAGGACCGCGGAAATCCTTGTGCTTGATTTTTTCTTCAGGTCTAGGGAAGACAAGCTGGATGCAAGAGATCAAGAATGGCCATGTATTTGAAGCAGTCGATTGCAGTAAGGAGGCCCATAGATAGCAATGACCACATCCACACTGCGCCCAGATCCACGCCCACGGGCCACTGCGACAAGTTGGGCCATGCCTTCACACTACCGCTAAGGTTGAAGGCAAGGAGACAAGGATGTGGATGGGATGTGAGAGATAGAGACAGAAAGCACTTGTCACAGCGTGCGACGGATAGGCGGCATGCGTTCAGCTTGCGTTGCTTCTTGCTACCGGAGGTGCTCTCTGACTCCGTGTATCGAGCGCAGCTCATCAGAACCTAGGCATGCGCGACAAATTAAGGAATGAGTGTACAGCAAATTGCTTCCTGTGCTCACCCATGTCAGAAGGTGACTGTCAGAGCCGAGCAACTACCAATGACAGATGGGCCAAGACTGCCCCCAGTCCCAGCATGAGCAGCCCAGATATGATACCTGCATGGTTGGACATGAAGCTAAAAGCATGCAGGGGAACCCACGCGCCTGAGTTCTTGAGCATGAATGGAAGCCTCAGGGACACTAGCTCAACATCTGCGAAGTGCGGACACTCCGGACATTTGGGATCTTCCAAGATCGGAACGACAAGCATCCCGCTCCCATGGCGGAGGAAACCAAGGTGAATACGGCAGCTCCCAAAGAGCCCTGAGGCAGACCACAGAGACAAACAGCAAGTCGCGGCCCCTTACATTGCAGGATGCCTCCCCAAGTAGCGAGTTGCGTTGCGACAAGCCAACACTGTGCCTAGGATGATGTCATGCCAGCTACAGTTTAAACTCCTAGTATCCCCCTTAATAACCCCTACAATACTCCCCTACATAGTCCCCTATATAACCCCCTTCAAGGAGTTTAGACTATAGCTCATGTGCATCTCACAAGGTCCAGAATTGAAAGGGGGCATAGTGGCAATAGCCAAAGCAAGGCGCTCTTCTTTGATGGTATCAAGCCCCTCCAAGTCCATGGATTCTAGGTCCACGTTGCTCCTGGTTGGGGCTGGACCAAGCAACAAGAATCTTTAATATCTTCCAGTATGCCCCAGTGCAGACCTCGAGCATTTGCGCATGGTCCTACGGATCAAGCGAGGGACCTAGGTTCAGTGACTTCCATGGAAGTGTAGGAGCGCAGTCATGGCACATCTTGTGTTATTTTAAGTCTGATGCAGATGCTTGCACTGGCGCCGAGAAATCCAGCCACAACCACTTCCTCAGTGGTGGGAACAAGGTCCCCCCTGTCTGATGCGCGCTTTTTCCTGAGAAAACAAGCCAAGTTTCCATAACTCCGTGTTGGCCACAGAATCGTAGTTTCGAAGTCTCATAGCAAAAGGTTTGCTGCTGCACCTGGTTGAAGCAAGACGTTGTGATATGGCTCTTTCTTAAGCAGGCCATGGGCAACATTGGGCCTGGTAGGTGGTGTCGATGGACAGCTGGAAGGCTCTGACTGCGTGGGGCTTCTTGTGGCCTCACTGGGCGCCTCGCCAGCCCGGGCCTTCCAACAGTGCACAGAAATGCTCCCGCACCTTGCCTAAACCCTAAACACCTAAACCCAAAAGCCCCAAACCCCTAAACCCTAAACCCCCAAACCCCTAAACACTAAACCCCTAATCCCTCTTGGAATGCGCCTTGCAAAGGCTCAACATGGCATATGAGGACGCCCAGCCCTCGGAGGCATCGTGCCGCCTTGGGTTTCGGGTTTAGGGGTTAAGGGGTTTGGGGGGTTTAGGGTTTAGGAGGTTTTTGTAAAGCCAGCCGGGAGTTTGGGGGTTGAGGGGTTCGGGGTTTCAGGTTTAGGGCGCCAAGGTTCTTCGCATAAACTTTAAGCGTAGGACTAACCTGATCTGGTACCTTCCCAAAAAAGAACCCCAATGTAGAGCGCAAAATACTAAAATCCTTATTATTGGGGCTCCCAAAAGATACCCCTAATTTGGGGAAACCCGAAAAAAACCCTATACACCCCTATATAACCCTTAAAGAATCCTATGCATCCCCTATAACCCCTCTAACATGGTACCCCTAGTTTTGGGAAACTCCTATCTACAAACAACTGAGTAGTGTTTTTTGGTGGTTGAACCTAGTAAGATTATATTCCTTATATAAAATACTATACCCCAAAGGAAGGATAGAATCTTACTCTATAATTGGTACCATAGTATCCCCAAATAAAATACTACTCAAATGCATCCCGGAGGCTGCTGCGCGGACATGGCCTGACCCAGTCGCACAAAGCGGCAGAGAACTTTTAACTGCTAACTCTTCGTTATTATTGTCATTATTCTTAGTACTAGTACTAGTACTAGTACTAGTACTAGTACTAGTACTAGTACTAGTACTAGTAGTAGTAGTAGTAGTCGTAGTAGTAGTCGTAGTAGCAGCAGTAGCAGCAGTAGTACTAGTGTGGTCACCGGC